GGTCGGTGGTGGTAGTGGTCGTGGTGGTAGTAGTGGTGGTGGTGGTGGTAGTAGTGGTGGTGGTGGTGGTGGTAGTGGTGGTGGTAGTGGTGGTCGTGGTGGTAGTGGTGGTGGTGGTGTGGTAGTAGTGGTGGTGGTGGTGAGTAGTGGTCGTGATGGTAGTAGTGGTCGTGGTGGTAGTAGTGGTCGTGGTGGTGTAGTGGTGGTGGTGGTGGTGGTAGTGGTGGTGGTGGTAGTAGTGGTCGTGATGGTAGTAGTGGTCGTGGTGGTAGTAGTGGTCTGGTGGTAGTACTGGTCGTGGTGGTAGTACTGGTCGTGGTGGTAGTAGTGGTGGTCGTGGTGGTTGTGACATCCTCCCCCCCCCGTCAGGACCTGTTCGTGACCTCACACAGACACAGCAGCTTCCGTTAATGACTCAAGAGCTTCCAGGTCACAGCACAGGTCACGTGGAGGCGGTCACGCCAGGGTCACGTGGAGGAGGTCACGTACAGGTCACATGGAAGAGGTCACGTACAGGTCATGTGGAGGAGGGTCACGCAGAGGTCACGTGGTTTGGTCAAGTACATGTCATGGAGGAGGTCACACGGGTCACGTGGAAGAGGTCACGCACAGGTCACGTGGAGGAGGTCATGTGGAGTCACGTGGAGAGTGTGTACAGGTCACGTGGAGGTCACGTACAGGTCATGTGGAGGAGGTCACGTACAGGTCATGTGGAGGAATTGTGGTCATGTGGGGTAATGTTGAACCACTGGAAAAAGAGGAAGGAAGGAAGGAAGGAAGGCACAGGTGTAAGAGACGTGCACAGGTGTTACAGGAATGTCGCAGGTGTGATGATGTTGTGGGGTGGTGGTGGTATTTTGGTGGTGGTGGCTGAGTGGGGTGGTGGCTGGGGGGTAGGGTGGTGGCTTGGGGTATGGGGTGGTGGTTGGGGGTATGGGATGGTGGCTGGGAGGGGGTGGCTGGGGTAGGGGTGGTGGCTGGGGGGGTGGTGGCTGGGGGTATGGGGTGGTGGCTGGAGGGTAAGGGGTGGTGGCTGGGGTATGGGGTGGTGGTTGGGGGGTATGGGGTGGTGGCTGGGGGTAAGGGGTGGTGGCTGGTGGTATGGTCCCTGGCAGGTACAGTAACAGGATATTCCCCAAGTTTCATCACAACCACACTTCCACTCAGTAAATCGATATGACAAGACGAATCAGCTGACGATCCTGCCTCCCTCCCGCTAACGATCCTGCCTCCCTCCCGCTTACGATCCTGCCTCCCTCCTGCGATCCTGCCTCCCTCCCGCACGATCCCTGCCTCCTCCCGCTGACGATCCCTGCCTCCTCCCGCTGACAGTCCCTGCCTCCCTCCCGACGATCCCTGCCTCCCTCCCGCGACGATCCCTGCCTCCTCCCTGACGATCCCCCCTCCTCCCTGAAGATCCTGCCTCCCTCCGCTGATCCTGCCTCCCTCCCGCTGAAGATCCCTGCCTCCCTCCGCTGACGATCCTGCCTCCCTCCCGCTGCGATCCCTGCCTCCCTCCGCTGACGATCCCTGCCTCCTCCCGCCTGGCGATCTGCCTCCTCGCTGACGATCCTGCCTCCCTCCGCTGACGATCCCTGCCTCCCTCCCATGACGATCCTCCCTCCCATGACGATCCCCTCCCCCTCCCGCTGACGATCCTGCCTCCCTCCCGCTGACGATCCTGCCTCCCTCCCGCTGACGATCCCCTCACCTGTATTGTAAGCTGTATATAGTTAATGACACAACACAAACGTAATCTGTACAAAAGTGATGCACTAAACAAACCCAATAAGCTAGCAGTGTGTATTTCATTTAAGTTAGGTTATGTCAGGTTAGGTCAGGTCAGGTTAGGTTATGTCAGGTTAGGTTATGTCAGGTTAGGTTATGTCAGGTTAGGTTATGTCAGGTTAGGTTATGTCAGGTTAGGTTATGTCAGGTTAGGTTATGTCAGGTTAGGTTATGTCAGGTTAGGTTATGTCAGGTCAGGTTATGTCAGGTCAGGTTATGTCAGGTTAGGTTAGGTTATATCAGGTTAGGTTATATCAGGTTGGGTTATGTCAGGTTAGGTTATGTTAGGTTAGATTATGTCAGGTCAGGTTAGGTTATGTCAGGTTAGGTTATGTCAGGTTAGGTTATGTGTCAGGTTAGGTTAGGTCAGGTTAAGTCAGGTTAGGTTATGTCAGGTTAGGGTCAGGTTAGGTTAGGTCAGGTCAGGTCAGGTCAGGTTAGGTTAGGTTAGGTCAGGTCAGGTCAGGTTGAGTAGCCTATGCACAAACACTGATCCACAATAATTCTCCTCTCAACCACGACATATTGCAACTCTCTCTCAAAGGTAAAGTGAATCAGGTACACCAACAGTAACAGTAAAACAACAGTAACACATAACAGTAGACAACAGTAACAACAGTAAAAAACAGTAACACACAACAGTAGATAACGGTAACACAACAGTAAACAGTAACATACAACAGTAATACAACAGTAACACAACGGTACTTACATTATGCTCCTCGACCAAAGTAGCGACCCGTCCAGGCTGTGAAAAGACAAACAAGTGATCAATGATGGGCCTGTGTGGGGGTGTGATGGGCCTGTGTGGGGGTGTGATGGGCCTGTGTGGGGGTGTGATGGGCGAGTGTGGGGGGTGTGATGGGCCTGTGTGAGGGTGTGATGGGCCTGTGGGGTGTGATGGGCGAGTGTGAGGTGTGATGGGCCTGTGTGGGGGGTGTGATGGGCCTGTGTGGGGGTGATGGGCCTGCGTGGGGGTGTGATGGGCCTGTGTGAGGGTGTGATGGGCCTGTGTGGGGTGTGATGGGCGAGTGGGGGTGTGATGGGCCTGTGTGAGGTGTGATGGGCCTGTGTGGGGGTGTGATGGGCGAGTGTGAGGGTGTGATGGGCCTGTGTGGTGTGATGGGCCTGTGTGGGGTGTGATGGGCCTGCGTGGGGTGTGATGGGCCTGTGTGAGGGTGTGATGGCCTGTGTGGGGTGTGATGGACCTGTGTGGGGTTGTGATGGGCGTGTGGGGTTGTGATGGGCTGTGTGGGGGGTGTGATGGGCAGGTGTGGGCTGTTGTGGGCAGTGTGGGGTGTTATGGGCAGGTGTGGGGGTGTGATGGCCTGTGTGAGGTGTGATGGGCCTGTGTGAGGGTGTGATGGGCGTGTGTGGGGTGTGGGATGGGCGTGTGGGGTGTGATGGGCGTGTGGGGGTGTGATGGGCGGTGTGGGGGTGTGATGGGCGTGTGTGGGGGTGTGATGGGCGTGTGTGGGGTGTGATGGGCCTGTGTGGGGTTGTGATGGGCCTGTGAGGGTGTGATGGGCCTGTGTGGGGGTGTGATGGGCCTGTGGGGTTGTGATGGGCCTGTGAGGGGTGTGATGGGCCTGTGTGGGGTGTGATGGGCCTGTGTGGGGGTGTGATGGGCGTGTGTGGGGTGTGATGGGCGAGTGTGGAGCTGTGTGGGCAGGTGTGGGGTGTGATGGGCCTGTGTGTGTGATGCATGGGGTGTGATGGGCGTGTGTGGGGTGTGATGGGCAGTGTTGGGGGTGTGATGGGCTGATTGGGGGTGTGATGGGCCTGTGTGGGGTGTGATGGGCCTGTGTGAGGGTGTGGATGGGCGTGTGTGGGGGTGTGATGGGCGTGTGTGGGGTGTGATGGGCCTGTGGTGTGATGGGCTGGAGGGGTGTGATGGGCGTGTGTGAGGGTGTGATGGGCGTGTGTGGGGTGTGATGGGCGTGTGGGGGTGTGATGGGCCTGTGGGGTGTGATGGGCGTGTGGGGTGTGATGGGCGTGTGTGGGGGTGTGATGGGCGTGTGTGGGGTGTGATGGGCGTGTGTGGGGGTGATGGGCGTGTGTGGGGTGTGATGGGCCTGGGGTGTGATGGGCCTGTGTGGGGGTGTGATGGGCGTGTGTGGGGGTGTGAGTGCCTGTGAGGGGTGCGTGGGCCTGTGTGGGGGTGTGGGCCTGTGGGGTTGTGATGGGCCTGTGAGGGGTGTGATGGGCCTGTGGGGGTGTGATGGGCGTGTGTGGGTGTGTGATGGGCCTGTGAGGGGTGTGATGGGCCTGTGTGGGGGTGTGATGGGCCTGTGTGGGGTTGTGATGGGCCTGTGAGGGGGTGTGATGGGCCTGTGGGGGTGTGATGGGCCCTGTGGGGTTGTGATGGGCCTGTGAGGGGTGTGATGGGCCTGTGTGGGGGTGTGATGGGCCTGTGTGGGGTTGTGATGGGCGTGTGTGGGGTGTGATGGGCGTGTGTGGGGGTGTGATGGGCAGTGTGGGGCTGTGATGGGCGAGTGTAGGGTGTTATGGGCGAGTGTGGGGTGTGATGGGCCTGTGTGGGTGTGATGGGCCTGTGTGGGGTTGTGATGGGCGTGTGTGGGGGTGTGATGGGCGTGTGTGGGGGTGTGATGGGCGTGTGTGGGGGTGTGATGGGCGTGTGTGGGGTGTGATGGGCGAGTGTGAGGGGTGTGATGGGCGAGTGTGGGGTGTGATGGGCGAGTGTGGGGGTGTGATGGGCGAGTGGGAGTGTGATGGGCGTGTAAGGGGGTGTGTGTGTGCATGGTTTGATTTTGAAATTACACCAGACTGTAGCTAGTTTGTACCCAACTCATCCCGTGAGCAGTGGTAGTTGCACCCATAGCACAAAAAGATTCAGAGCAGAGACAACGGGTGTTTATCAGACCCAGTGGTCAGGATATTGTGGCGATGAGGTAAGATTATTTTATTGTTTGTTTAGTTCAGTACATAGAAGTTGACTTAGCTACTAGAGGCCAAATAATGATAAGCTTTAGTATATCGGCTATCTTACATCACAGATAAAGTGCTGTGTCATTGTATACAGTATTGTGGCCATATCTCACAGACACTTAACATTAGTCTTGTTCACATCTGCCTGAGGAACATACTGCCAGAGGTATATATCCCTAACCCGAGTCTAGCGGTTACAACATCTTGTAATCTAGTGATCTTGTTACTTCTACTTATACATGTTTTATGATACATCATCTCATAGTAAACAATGGATCGACTAGATGCCTGTTACCTTGTCTACTTGCTTTAAATTCTCAAGTTTTTTTTCTGATTACAGTTTTAAAGTTTTGTTAATTCCCAGTTGTACTCAACATTGTCATTGTTGGACGCGAGTTTACTCGGGCATCAACACTATCATGTTGACTGATGCATATGTGAGAGGGATCCACCCCAGATCCTGATACCCCCGTCAACAAGACACATGTGTGTCTGGCTCCAGGGACAAGCAGCAATCTGAGTTTAGGTTATCAAGAGTAAGTAGTGAGGATAAGGAGTCAGTGATGACGAGACTGTGTGGCAGTGTCTTACAAGTTTCAGGGCTGTGGTATGATAGTTCAGTTTGTAGAGTGGATGACCAGTTACTAATTGTAGCTCTTCGCTATTATATTACCGTTAGGCTGAGTGCAGACAGCACTTCAGCCCTCCACAGACGTTAAGAGAGCCGTTAGTGTAGATGGTCTGTGATGTTTATCAGTCTGTAGGTTGTGTGTGTTCAAGATCTCATACGGTGGTGTGTTGGAGATAAGGTTATGTGGGTCAGTCGTTTAGGCGGGTATGGGTGTTGTGATGTAGAGGAACTGTCCGCCAGGGTGGCAGGAAGCGCTGCTGTGTCTCAACTTGGTACAGATGGTCTGGCCTATTTTTCTCCCAGAACAAACAAACAGACAAGTGATAAAGACTAAGAATGATAAAGAAGGACAGATAAATAGGACAGAGTTGAATCTATTCATACATTAGCTGCCCATGCATACACCATAAACACAGTCATACATAAACATGCACACAGGTAAACATTCACACTCAAGCTAGCAAGCTGAAGTGTACTTCCTGTGAAAAGAACACCTCCTTTGACAACACTGCCCAACTTGAAGAATGAGAAGAATAGTGAGTCATACCAATTTAGCACTAAAATGGTAATATAAGAACATAAGAATGGAGAACTGCAGCGGGCCTATTAGCCATACTAGGATCCAGTTTAGACCAACCTATTGCTCATATAAGCATCAACCTATATTTTAAGCTATTCAGCGTATTCGAGTTAATGATGATATTTGGTAACTTGTTCCAATCATCCACTACTCTGTTTCCAAACTAGTGTTTACCTATTTCGCCCTAAATCATTTGTCCAATTTAAAACCATTGTTACAGAGTTCGCTCCTGGTTGGATAGTCTGAGTACAATTGTCCCCTTTGTTTAGCCCTGACTTCCATTTATACACCTCCTATCAGGTCGCCCCTCTACGTCTCTCGAGGAGTGCAAATTAAAAGATGCTTTAACCTGTCTCTATACTCAAGGTTCTAATGCCCGGATTAGTCTTGTCATTCTCCTCTGAATTCTTTCAATGATTCTATATCCATCCGTAATACGGTGACCAGAACTGAACGCATAATCCAGGTGTGGTCTCACAAGCGCAAGATACATTTTAGGATGACCTCGCTAGTCTTGTAACTAACACTCCTTTGTATGAACCTCTCTCTGTCCATATAATCAGTTGCCTCTGAAGATGTCTTGAATAGACAGCTAAGGTGCTCCGTTGTTTCCCTTTTCGTGTGATTTTATCAAGATATATATATATATATATATATATATATATATATATATATATATATATATATATATATATATATATATATATATATATATATATATATATATATTTCATTAGCCCAATAAAGCACGCGGACCCTACATACAATCAACACCACCATTGATACGGGTAGTCCCCATTAGAGTTCACGGCGCCAAAAGCTCCTTTAACAGGCTTTGTGAAATATAACAAAGTCTAGGAGTGCTTTTAATATCCTGGTGGTCAGGGTGGTTTCCCCGGTCAAAGTCATAGCTCGTGGGCTGTGGGTTCGAATCCTGGCAGGTTGAGTGTTGATATATTGTGTTGTCAAAGTGTACAAATTATGTGACTTTTTCCTGTGGATACTGTTCAAAACACACAGCCACACCCAGACAGGGTAGTGTACTTATGGTATACATTAATTTTAATAAAATTGTTTAATACAATAGCATAATACTTTAATAATACAGACAACAACAACATGCTGGTCTATTACTAACAATTAAAGAATATATACAAGACCTCATCACTGTCATATAAAACGATTAATACTATCTGCTATCCTCATTACATTACTCCAAGCTACTAATTCCACCCCTCAGACAGGCTCCAGTAAAGCTAATGATCATTTTACCTATGTCGGCGTTTGGTTCTATAAACAGTCAACACCTCTAGTTCTGTCTCTCTACAACTGGTGATGCAAGATCACTGACCATTGACTCTGTACTTCAGAACCTTTTTTCCTCCATTCTGGTCATTCTTCATTAAGATGGAGTAAGAGAGGGCGCCTCCAGAAGAGCATGTTTGAGCTGGTGAGGAACAAGGTTTGAGTAAATGGTCAACGGCAGGAAGTGTAATGGTGCGATGGAATTCCTTGGGGTAAACTGCTGGTATGTTAGATCTATGAACTTCCCTTCTGTTTATACTGCACGATTTAGGGCATCGACTGATTCATCTATGCCAGTACTAACCACCATGATCTATTTCCAGGTACAAATCGATAAATTGACATCATACCAAATAAACAGATATATTTACTATTACTGACTTTGTTCAAACACGTGAATATTTTACACTTACAATTATTATTAACATCAACTAGACAAATCCATGAACTATCAGATACCGCAGCAAACAATTGTATGAGGAAACACACACACACACACACACACACACACACACACACACACCAACTATCATAAAAAATGATGATTTGTATAGTAACACTGCAGTCAGGTTCCACCCATCCCGGTCAGGCCCATCCATATCCTCTCCACGGTCCCGCCATGTAAGTGTACATTTGGCTTGTTGATGGACAATAAATTATACTGTCTATCCTCAGTGATACCGACATGTAAATAATATGGACTAGAAATAATGCCAAACCCTGTATAAGGACCCTTCTTTTTAGGGCCACAGGCACATTACATGTTTAGAAGAGGTTGACGTTAATTGTTCTTTGCACTGGGTACCTAGTTCTTTAGTGCTCATGGGGCAGCCTAGACGATGTTTTTTTCCTATCTTGCTTTGATGGTCCATGTTTGCGGTTACCAGCTTGTTTGTTGAATACTTTACTTTTCTCAGTGGAGATAATAGACCAGTGTTCTCACAGGCTGACTGTACATGGTTCAGGGTGGTTTGTATTACGATGAGTTTAATATGTATAAGAATGTCATCTGTAGCTAACAGTAATATTGTATATAATTGCACCACCACATTTTACTGTAGGACAACACGCAGCTACAGTACACCACCATTCTTGGTGACTTAAACCTTACCTTTGACAGTGGAGATAGGTTTTATTTTATAACGAACTAACCAAAACGGATATTTACAGTAGGTGTGACGGAGTGTGACGGGCGGTTTAGGTGTGTGTAGGTGTGACGTGTGTGGTGTGTCGGGTGTGTGACGGGGTGGAGTGTGTGTGTGACGAGTGGTGACGGTGTGAGTGTGTGGTGTGACGGGCGTGTGGGTGCAAGGTGGGTGTGACGTGAGGAGTGTGACGGGGCTAAGTGTGTGAGTGACGGGCGTGGTGTGATGGAGCGTGTAAGATGGGAAGGGCGGTGGATGACGGGAGCGTATTGTGGCTGTGACGTCTTTTGTGTGATGTAACGGGACCATGTGGGGTGACACGGCGATGTGTGGGTGTGACGGAGATTATGTGTGGGGTGGATGCGGCGTGCATGAGTGGGTGGACGTGGGGCGTGGCGGGAGGTGACGGGTGTCAGTGACTAGGTGTGGTGTGATTGAGCAGCTGTGGGTGACGGGGTGTATGTGTGGGTGTGACGGGGTGCATGTAGGCGCTATGGGGTAGGTGTGACGATTGTATGTGTGGCTGTGACAGGGTGTAGGTGTGGGTGTGACGGTGTAGGTGTGGGCGGACGGGGTAGGTGTGGGCGTGACGGGGTGTAGTGGCGTGACGGGGTGTAGGTGTGACGGTGCATGTGGGCTGTGACGGGGTGTATGTGTGGGTGTGACGGGGTGTATGGTGGGTGACGGGTTTAAGTGTGGATGTGACGGGTGTATGTGTGGCTGTGACGGCGAGGGGTGACGGGGTGTATGTGTGGCTGTGACGGGTTTAGGTGTGGTGGACTGGTGTGTGGGTGACGGGTATGTGTGGGCGTGACAGGGTGTGTGTGGGCGTGACGGGGTGTAGGTGTGGGCGTGACGGGGTGTGTGGGTGTGACGGGGTGTACGTGGCTGTGACGGGGTGTATGTGTGGGTGTGACGGTATGTGTGGTGTGACGGGGTTTAAGTGTGGATGTGACGGGGTGTATGTGGCTGTGACGGGGTTTAGGTGTGGGTGACGGGGTGTATGTGTGGCTGTGACGGGGTTTAGGTGTGGGTGTGACGGGTAAGGGTGTGACGGGGTATGTGGGTGTGACGGGGTGTATGTGGGTGTGACGGGTGGTGTGGGTGTGACGGGTGTATGGGTGTGACGGGGTATGTGGGTGACGGGGTGTGGGTGATGTGGGGTATGTGTGACGGGTGTAGGTGTGGGTGTGATGGGGTGTATGTGGTGGGTGTGACGGTGTATGTGTGGTGTGACGGGGGTATGTGGGTGTGACAGGGGTAGGTGGGTGTGACGGGGTGTATGTGTGGTGAAGGGTGTATGTGGGTGTGACGGGTATGTGTGGGTGTGACGGGTGTATGTGGGTGTGACAGAGGTATGGGTGTGTGGGGTATGTGTGGTGACGGGGTTTATGTGATGATGGGTGTATGTGTGGCTGTGACGGGGGTTTAGTGTGGGTGTGACGGGGTGTATGTGTGGTCTGACGGGGTTTAGGTGTGGGTGTGACTGGGTATGTGTGGGTGTGACGGGTATGTGGGTGTGACGGGGTGTATGTGACGGGTGTAAGTGTGACGGTGTAGGTGGTGGAGTGTAGGTGGTGTGACGGGTGTATGTGGGGTGTATGTGTGACGGGTGTATGGTGGGTGTGACGGGGTGTATGTGTGGGTGTGACGGGTATGTGTGGGTGAGCAGTATGGTGGGTGTGACGGGGTGTATGTGTGGGTGTGACGGTATGTGGGTGTGACGTATGTCCACGTGCATCACAGGAGCCCAGGTCAGGATGTACCCACACACACACACACCAGGTCACCTACTTAAACACCAACAACCTACCCTGCCAGTTTTGGTCTGTGATTGGTTGTTTGGTGATGGAGATAGGGTAGGAGGTGGGAGGTAGAGAGACATAGGAGGTATATTAGTCCTGCACAGTAAAGCACTAGAGTCCTCCATCGATCTGCTCCAGACACGTTGCCGGTGTCGCCAGGAGCCTCCTCCAGGGTGTGGTGGGTGGTGTGGAGTGAGCACCACCTTCTCCACAACCTCTACTCCACACATACTCCACAAATCAAGTTTAGTTTTAGTGATGAAATAAGGAAAAGAACGAGGCAGTGTCTTACCTTGCCAGGACCCCTCGGTGGGTGGAGTTGCCCTGCCAGAACCTTCTCACGTAGTGCCTGATGTACCCGACAGCCGAGGCGCCGAATTGGAAGCCAGGATGCCAGCAGAGGGATCCATAGCCGAACACCCAGAGGCTTTCGTCTCTTGACTGCCCATAGCCAAACACACACACACAACAACACGACCGTTGATCACTTTGTCTCAGTAGGAAGTGAGCGGGACCATCCTCTGGACCGGTCCTAGGCTCGGTCAAGCTCGTTTTCAACCTGTTTTGGGGCGAGGAAGAGTGTGAGGGCAAGGGTGTTTGGTGTAAAGCGAGACCCAATACCCTGTGAGAGACCCGCCAGCACCATAACACAACACACCATCAGCTGTCTTAAACCCGACCTATTTCCTGGCATCGTGCTGACGGTGACGAGTGTCCAATTTTACTCAATATATATTTTTTCCCTACATAACTCATTATTTTCTGTACCCTGCCTTATTACACCTAATTCCTTATTTGACATACTACAAGTGAGTATTTCAAATGCATTGCAGAGTGTCACAAACGTATTATTAATTTATATTTAAATACGCGAATAAGCAACGTCAGCCCTCTTGGACTTTCCTGTATTTCTTGACGTCACGATACTCGCTCATCTGAACCAATAGAAACTCGCCTCAGCGCTCGGCTTAGTTCTCATTGGTTAGCGACGACCTGTACTGCGTTTGCGTATGATGCAATCTTGTTAGGATTTTCATTGAGGCTCACAGGACATGAGAGATAAGGTGATGAAACGTTGATGCAGACAAGGCTGAAGAAACGACCACGGAGTGACGGAGAGAAGAAAGGTAAACACAACACCAATAAGGATAATAATAGTTAACGGCCTTGGGGGGCAGGACTGCCAGAGAGTGAGAGTGAAGGCACACAGTTACTAACGGTAAAAATAATAACTGGCAACCTTAGTAACGCAGAGGGAGGAGGTGCGACGATCTCCACCACCACCTCCACCACCACTACCACCACCTCCACCTCCACCACTATAACCACCACCTCCATCACCACCTCCAACACAACCTCCACCTCCATCACCACTCACCACCACCTCCACCTCCATCAATTCTACCACCACCACCACCACCACCACCTCCACCTCCACCACTCAACCACCACCACCACCTCCATCACCCACCTCCAACACAACCTCCACCTCCACCACCACCACTACCACCACCTCCATCACCACCTCCACCATACAACCACCACCTCCACCTCCATCACCACCTCCACCACCACCTCCACCTCCATCACCACTACCACCACCTCCACCTCCATCACCACCTCCACCTCCATCTTCACTACCACCACCTCCACCTCCAACAACCTCCTCCACCACCACCTTCACACCACACCATCACCTCCACCACTATAACCACCACCTCCACCTCCATTACCACCTCCAACACAACCTCCACCTCCAACACAACCTCCTCCACCACCACCTTCACCACCACCATCACTCCACCACTATAACCACCACCTCCACTCCACCACCTCCATCACCACCCCACCCACCCACCCACCACCACACCACACACCACCACAACCCTCCACCACCTCACCTCATCCACCCACCACCACCTCCATCACCACCCCCTCCACCATCACCAACTCCTTCCCACCACCACCACCACCTCCATCACCACCACCTCCACCACCACCACCCACCTCCACTACCTCACCACCTCCCCACCACCACCCCATCACACTCACCACCTCCATCACTACCATACACCTCCACCATCACCACAACCCCTACATCTCACCTCACCTCACCCAACATCACCTCACCACCTCCACCACCACCATCCACCACCACTTCACCACCTCCATCACCACCACCTCCATCACCACCACCTCCACCACCACCACCACCTCCAACTCCCACACACTTCACACTCACACTCACCACCACTCACACTCCACCACCACCTCCACCACCACTCACCTCACCTCACACCATCACCACCACCACCATCACCACCTCCACCACCCTACCATCACCACCACCTCCATCACCACCACCACCTCCACCACTCACCATACCACCATCACCACCCCCTCCCCAACACACCCACCACCTCCACCACCTCACACCAACCTCCACCATCACCACCCACACTCCACCACCAACCACCTCCACCACCACACCACCATCACCACCACCTCCACCACCACCCACCACCACCACCACCTCCACCACCACACTCCACTCACCACCATCCTCCACTCATCACCACCACCCCACATCACCACTCCACCACTCACCACCACCTCCACTCACCACCATCCACCACCACCACCTCCACCACCACCACATCATCACCACCACCCTCACACCATCCCACACCACCACCACCTCCTCCACTCACCACCACCTCACCTCCACCACCACCACCACCCACACCACCATCCTCCACCACCACCCCACTCACCACCACCACCACCACCACCCATCCTCCCACCATCACCACCACCACCACCTCCATCACCACCACCCACATCACCTCAACCTCCCATCACCACCACCTCCATCACCACCACCTCCACATCCACCCTACACCACCACCACCACCTCCATCACCACACCACCCTCCACCTCACCACCCACCCTCCATCACCACCACCCACCCCACCATCACCACCACCCTCCATAACCACCACCACCACCTCCATCACCACCTCACACCACCTCCACCACTACCACACACTCCACATCAACTCACCACCCTCCATCACCACCACCCCACCACCACCACTCCACACCATCACCACCTCCTTCACCACCACCACCTCCACACCACCACCTCCAACACCACCTCCACCATCACAACCACCACCTCCATCCCTACCACCACCTCCACCACCACCACCACCTCCACACCACACCCACCCCATCACTCCACCACCATCCACCACCACCACCCACCTCCACTCCACCACCAACCTCCATCACCACCACCAACCTCCATCACCACCACCACCCCTCCACCACCACCACCCACCTCCATAACCACCACCCCATCCATCACCACCTCACCACCATCCTCCACTCACCACCTCACCCTCCACCACCACCACCACCTCCATCACCACCACCTCCACCACCACACCTCCACTCCACCACACCTCCATCACCACCACCACCTCCACCATCACCACCATCACCATCACCACCACCCATCCTCCACCACCACTACCACCACCACCCACCCCTCACCATCCACCATCACCCATCCCACACACCACCTCCACCCACCACCATCACCTCCCCCACTCCACTACCCAACCTCCACCACCACCACTCCCACCACCACCACCACCTCCATCACCACTCACCACCATCCCACCACCACCACCACACCACCACCACCTCCATCACCACCTCCACCTCCCATCACCACCACTCACATCACACCACCACCATCACCCACCACACCTCCACCACCACCTCCATCACCACCACACCACCCTCCATCACTACCACCTACATCACCACCCCACCTCACCCCATCACCACACAACCACCCCATCACCACCTCACCCTCCACCACCACCTCACCCACCACCATCACCCACCACCACCACCACCATCACCCATCCACCACCCATCACCACCACACCTCCACACCACCACCTCACCACCTCCATCACCACCGACACTACACATCACCACCACCTACCACCATCACCACCACCTCTCCATCACCACCATCCTCCACCATCACCACACCCCCCACCACCACCCTCCATCACCACACAACCTCCACACCACCACCCTCCACCACCACCACCCTCCACCACACTCCACCACCACCACCCTCCCATCCCCACACACCACCACCATCACCACCATCCACCACCTCCACCTCCACCACCACCTCCACACCACACATCACCACCCACCTCCATCACCACCACCTCCACTCACACCACACCACACCACACCTCCATCACCACAACCTCCACCACCACCTCACCTCCCACCATCACCACCACCTCCATCACCACCACCACCTCCATCAAACACTACCACCTCCACCCACCACCCTCCACCCCACCACCCCTCCAACCCAACCACCACCCTCCACACAACCCCCACCACCACCACCTCCACCACCACCCACCTCCATCACCACCACCACCACCATCACCACCATCCCCATCACCACACCCACCACCACCACCACCACCACCACCACCACCTGCACCACACCTCACCTCCATCCACCATCACCCCTCCACCACCACCAACCACCAAAAACCAACACAACCTCATCACCACCACACCACCACCAACCACCACCCACCACCACACCACCACCCCCACCACCTACCACCTGCAACCCAAACCACAACCTCCACAACACAACACCCCCAACCAACCCCATCACCACCACCACCACCATCACCACCACCACAAACAACCACCACCACCACCATAACCACCCCCACCACACCATCACACCCAACACACCAACCACCACCAACCACCACCACCACCCCCACCCCAAACCAACTCCCACAACCTCCACCACCACCACCACCACCACCACCAACCACTATCACCCACAAATCCACCACCACCACCACCTCCATACCACCACCAACACAACACAACCTCCAACACCACACCACCACCACACCCACCACCCCCACCCAACCACCACCACACCACACCAACCATCAAAAACCACCACCACCACCATCACCACCTTCACCACCACCCCCACCACCCCACCACCACACACCACCACCACCTCCACCACACACAACCACCACCACCACTCCACACCACCTTCACCACCCCACCACCACCACCACCACCACTCCCACCCACCACCACCACCACCCACACCACCACACCACCACCCACATCACCCAACAACCTCCACCACCAAAACAACCACCACCACCACCACCACACCACACCAAACTCCACCCCCACCACCACCAACACCCACCACCCACTCACCACCAACACAAACCACCTCCAACACAACCACCACCACCACACCACACAAAACCACCCTCCACCCCACCACCACCCTCCAACACCACCAAACTCCAACAACCAACACAACCCCACCCACCACCACCACCTCCACAACACCACCCTCCCACCACCACCACCTCCACACCACAACCACCCACCACCACCACCTCCAACCACCCAACACCACCACCCACCACCACCACCACCACCACCAACATCACACCACCACACTACAACCCCACCACCCCCACCTCACCACCACCATCCACCTCCACACTCACCAACCACCCCACAACACAACCTCCACACTCACAACCACCCATCACCACCCCACACCACAACCACCACCACACCACAAC